ATACAGCCCATGACCTCGATCTTTGACTCTGACCTTGACAGTGATCCTAACCCTGACACTGACCTAGATAAAACCTTGAACTAGCTATTTTATTTATTTTTTCCTTCTCTTTTTTATACACACTGTTGTTTATTTACATTTTCTCCTCTGACAAGGAGAGAAATATGCAGTATACCTTTCTTTCCATTCCAAAGAGAAAGCATACACAAGGGCAGGCTTTACAGTGATTGATCACTGTGATAGCCAATCAAAGACTATCACAGCGATCAGGTGATCAGGAACTGGGCTTTCCAGTTCACAATCATTAGTACTGGACCTGAAGCTCTTGGTAAGAGTCCAGGTCCCTGTGCTGGGAGTGTGCTATGCAACTGTTTTTGTTCTGAACTGTTTTACTGAAATAGTGATTCTCAGCTAGGCTCTCTGCTGCCATAGTATATTTGTCAGGAATGGACTGGCCAGCAATGGTGGGACTCACCTGCCTTTTGATCTGCAGTACCAGGGCTGGCCAGCGGGTGCTCCCAGCAATCAGAGACTCAACCTTTCAGCCAGCTAACACCTGGAACTGATGATACTGGTGTATTTAAGGGATGGCCAGACTTGCAGACTCTGCCTTGGTGTTGTGTTTGTCCTGGGCCCTGTATCTGTCCTGCATCCTGTTTCTGTTCCTTTGCTGACCCTGCCTGATCTGAACCGCTGCTGACTTCTCCTGCTCTGATCCCGGCTCGCTCCTGACCATCCCTCTGCCTGACCCTCTGTACCACGCTGCTTGCTACCTGTTCTGATCCCTGGCTTGTGACCCTGACCATCCCTCTGCCTGACCCTCTGTACTACGCTGCTAGCTACCTGCTGAACCTGGCCTGTGACCCCGACCCATCTCCGCTTGCTCCCCCTGTACCTACCTGCCCTATTGATATTGACCCGGCCTGCCTGACGACGCTTGCTTGTATGTACTGTTATCTGTGGGTGGTTGGTTTGGTTTGTTTGCACTGTATTATGTTTTAGTATTGCACTGCGTTTATGTTTGTATGGTTAGTGTTAATAAATTATATTGTTTATCACATACCTGAAGTCTGCGTTTCCCTGCGTCAGTCACACACCTCTGGTCACACCTGGGAGCCCTGACAATATTATAGAGACCAGGTACTGCAGCCATACATTACCCTGACTGAGCCACATAGACATTGCTGTGAAGAGTCCATGCCTGTGCAGATTTCATAATCTGTTTTGTATTATTCTGCAGTTTATCTGTATTTTTTGCTATTCTGACCTTGACACTATATAAAACCTTGATCTTTGTTTTGTAAATAATCTAAAAGCAACAACTTTTAATTTGTAAGCTCCATTTTAAATTTGTATCTCTGAATGACAAAGTCACTCTTCCTAGCTTTATTTTGAGAATCTATAAAGTTCAGGCTTTCTATATTCAGCCTATACATTGTTATATTTACAATAACAGGTGAATCTACAGAGATCCTGTGCTTAGGATGCTGGTATAGTGTTACTATTCTTTGGAGGCTAATAGCACCACAAATTGTAACCCCCCCCCCCATTTACCTGAGTGGACCACAGTTATTTGTGAAAAATACAACTACAGTAAAGTGCAGCACTCCCCTCACATATATAAATACAGTGCTCATATAAAAAAATATAATTGATCCTGTAAAAAAAATGAAATAAATGACCAATTAATTATTCTGTGTAATATAAACATGTAGTGAAAACCATAAAGTGAAAAACAAAGTCCATCCAATGTGTCTTTTGCAAGACTTTTATAACCAAAATAATTATCTTTAATGACCAATTGCTTCTTTCTCCAAAAACAATTTAATGCTCCATCCAAGCTTGCATGGTAAACTCCAATGCACCTCCTACCTGAAAAAAATCATGTGCTCTCTTGTACTCACACTCAAGCTGTGCGCACACCAATAATATGAGTGTAATATGAGTGTAATTCTTTTTTTGATACATAGGTTTATACAAGATGTTGTGACGAACGCAGCGTCAGACCCCTGACCTTCTCACCAAACTCGTGACCGAGGGACTAGCCAGTCTAAAACCGTGGTGTCACGTGCGTAACAATGCCACACCCAGCTGCACCCTGCACAACAATTTTCCACCCAATGGACCACCAGCGATGTCCGGCAGCCTGAATGAGCTTGTTACTGGGTCAGGTTAATCACGCAATTAACCCTTCACACTGCCACCACCTCCTTTTTGCACAGAGAAAGAGGAAACTTGGCGATATCAGCTATAACACTATAATGGTTGAGATAATTGCCTGTATAACACTGTCACCACAGACCGGTTATACAGAGGGTTAAACAAACACAGTAGCGCTCTTTTAGAGGCAGGAATCCGTAATTGCATTAAGGCGCTTTAGAAACAGTTCAACACTTTTGGAAAGAAAGATTTATTACTAAAAGGTCAAAAGGGTGCAATAAAATATTTACAGAAAAAAGATGTAACCAATATATATATAAATATACAGAGAACAACAGCACAGCAAAGAGGTAACAGAAAGGAGGTAAAGGGTTAAAGTACTTGCCAATCAGCCTTGGGTTTGCAGATCAAGTTTCAGAGCGAAAGGGCTGTCTCCCAAGTTGGTTCTGATGTTAAACAGGAGAATTCTTCAACTTCCTCTCTTAGGCCTGACATCCCATTTTGTAGTTCCCCAACAGGGGGTGTCTCTAAAGTCAAGGACCAATACCCCCGTTTAGGGAGGGAAGGTCTGGGCGTAGACCTAAACTAGAGCCAAAATCTCTTATAGTTCATATTTTGGCTCATAACTTTTCCTATGCACAAGTGACATTCCACCCGCAGGTAGATTACTATGCAGACGCATCTGAGGAACGGGTAGATATGAAATATGAAATACATATTTGAAGGGTTCCAGTAATGTAATTTTCTGCTTTCCTAGGTATTCCAGTCAGGGAGTGTGACCTATCAAACTGGTTGTCTTCTCGTGGGCAATCTGAAGATATGCCTGATTTTTATGTAAGTCTCTCATATTCAAAGATACGAGACATAGGGAAAAAATGGATTTTTAAAGTGTTATCTGGTTCGTGCTCCTCTGGAATGTCTTTGAACTCCTGGGAAGGCTTGCGTTATCTTTTACGATGTGCTAGATTGCACAGCTTTCTTAGAAAGAAAGGCGCTCAGCTCAGAGAGGTTGTACAGCTCTGGGCTCCCTGCTGGGCTCTGGCCTGCCTGTGACACTTCCAACACCCACACCGACCAGATGTCACTGTGGCTCTCAGAGAGGGAGGGGGAGAATGAGGGGAGACATGGAGAATTCTTAACAAAATGGAGGGCCGCGTACGTCTCTGTGTGTACGCTTGCTACAGGTGTATGAAAATACAGTTAAGAGAACAATATGTGAGAGAAACTTGCTATATTAGTGTAGAGATGTGCTGGTTGTTTTAAATTTTAAACAGCAGTTGCAAAGCATTTTTTTTCTTTTCCCTCTTTGTGAGTGCCAGATAGGAAAAGCAGGACTGTGCTCTGATTGGTTGTTGCTACAGCTGAGAAGGATCGACCCATAGCAGCACTGTTGCAGCTGGATTTATGATTGGCTGTGGAGGAAAAGGAGAGAGGAAAAAGGAAGAAGAAGCACATGTGGGGAAGCAGACATTTTCAGGGGACTGCATGGAGCAAGGGTTCCTGGTATAAAGTCACAGAGTCTCACTCTCTATGCTGCTAGAGCCCATGGACTGGGCTGGTAGTGTGTAGCAGAGAAATTGTTGCAGGAGGACAGTGTGCAAACTAAGGATTGTCCTGCCTGACACTCAGGATTACAGCCACTCAAGTGCATGCATCTCTCAAAGTCTGGAGCTGCTGAAAGAGAGAGGATTTCTACTGCTGTCTAATGCTATCTAGAGGACAATCCAGCAACAGTGAGTACTCTGTGATGAAAGGGGATTTTGATATTGTTGCATTTGCTGTTCATCTCTGGAGAATGGTCAAGAGAAAGCCTGCTCTCTAATTCTCAGAGTGACACAGATCTTGGGAAGCCCAAGCTGCTCAGAATTAGATATTCCTGCTGCTGATTGATGAGAGAACTCTGTCACTGTATATTACTGGTTTGTCTCCTCAAGATTTGTGCTGTGGCTGAAGAGTGTGTTTAGTTCCAAGTCCCCACAGAAGCTTGCTGCTCTAAATATATTGAGCAAGTGTCAGTATATCAGGATTTCACCTGTATGGTAAAGATTTGTTGAAGTGTTGTTTTTCTTCTATTGCAATGTTCACTGGAAGATTCTGCTTAAAGGAGACTGTGCTATCCTGCTACCCCTGGATTACAAATACTCTCCCATGCAGAGAGGGAGCGCTCTTCCATTGATTAAAGGGCCCCAACGTTGAGAGACTTTAAGGTTCATCCCACTGGCCACTGGTTAGGTAGGACATTTCTACTTTAGATAGTACTGCCATAGCAAATGTCAATAAGCTGCTAAATCTCATTAACAGTTATTGTTTCATGTGACAATGTCACTCTCATATGTCACCCTAGTCAGTGTGATACTAGTCAGTTTTTGGAGTCTTTGGCAAGTGAATTGTGACTTCTTACTAACTGTGTTATGCAAAGTGGTATCTGTGTTTTATGTACATTACCTGTGTTAAATCAGCTAGTTCTTTTTCAGGGTTTGTCTTCTTCAATAAAACCCATAAAAAATATTCTCAGAGTGTCGAAGTGTTCTGGGTATAATCGGAGGTGTTACAAGATTCATGTGAGAGCTGAACCTATATATCTAGCCAAGCATCACCCAAGGGTGTGCTACATTAGACTTACAAGTGGTGTCAAGATGGAACGTAATATGATTGTCATTGAGGTATGGTAATTTCTTCTTCACCACTCCAAGTTTAATATGGGAAATTAATGTGGTATTTCAAATGCCATTATGGCATAAAACATACCGTATTTTTCGCTCCATAAGACACACCTGACCATAAGATTCACCTAGGTTTTAGAGGAGGAAAACAAGAAAAAAAAATATTCTGAACCAATGGACTGCAGACATAGTGCAGGAGTTGACCAGAGACCGTGAACATACTACAGGAGATGGCCAGAGACTGCAGACATAGTACAGGATATGACCAGAGACTGCAGACATAGTACAGGAGATGACCAGAGACTGCAGACATTCTACAGGAGATGACCAGAGACTGCAGACATAGTACAGGAGATGACCAAAGACTGCAGACTTAGTACAGGAGATGACTAGAGACTGCGGACATACTACAGGAGATGACCAGAGACTGCGGACATACTACAGGAGATGACCAGAGACTGCGGACATAGTACAGGAGATGACCAGAGACTGCGGACACAGTACAGGGGATGAACAGAGACTGTGGACACAGTACAGGGGATGCCCAGAGACTGCGGACACAGTACAGGAGATGGCCAGAGACTGCGGACATAGTACAGGAGATGACCAAACACTGCTGACCTTTGGGGAGCAAAGGGGGGGACCATTCACAAAGCGCATTACTTCTCACACATGCGCAGTGGGCACCTGGCTATAAAGCCGCAAGCTGTCACAGCCAGATGCCCACACTAAAGATGCCGGCGCCGGGGAAAGAAGAAGGTGAGGACCACCAAGGAACAGGTAGGACTGAGGAGCACAGAAGAGCCGAGCAGCTGGCCCGGTATTCTAACACGGTGGTGGCGGGAATTCTGGGACAGCCACTCCATATTCGTTCCATAAGACGCACAGACATTTTCCCCCATTTTTTGGGGGGGAAAAAGTGCGTCTTATGGAGCGAAAAATATGGTATGTGTTCCTATATCATAGTTTATACAAGATACTTTGGATTAGTTTGATTTTAGCAATATAAATAGGGGAATTAGAATAAAGAGAGCCTGGTATAACACTTTGTTGATAGGAAAGGACCCATGGCAGGAACATTGAATACAACTGATATACAAACTTTCCATTCTGGATTAGTCTTTAGGAGCTGCCTTATGAATAGATTCATCAGTCTTGAAGTGCCATATAAGGTAGTAACATAGTAAATCATTATAGATATAAAAGTCATACCGATACTGAACAAATTAGTTATGATCTGAGCTGACAGAACTATAAATACTAATGAATTTGTACTAGATTGTATTTCTCTACATGATAAAGCAGATAGTCATAGTTAGATATATGTGTTTCATTATGATTTGTTTTTCATCCGAAAATTTAATTTTCTGAGAATCGGATGTACACAAATCTCTGAATGGACATAGTAGTGAATGTCAGTGAATCTGAAAAAATGTTATAATGAAATTACAAAATGCATTTGTTTAATTTGTTTCATTCAGATGAATTCACATGATGCGACAATAGTTTGGGTCCATGGGGGAAATTAATTCAATTTTCAGTTTCGTTTGATAATTAGGATTTGAATAGCAAATGGATCCAAATTTTGTTTCATTCATTAATTTTGATACACATGATGGATCAGAGGAGAAGGAGAGTCACCAGGTTTTTGCCAGTTTGATCCCCTTCACATACCGATCTGACTTTTACCCTATACAATCTAAGGGTAAAGAAATGGATCGCTTAGAAAAAGATAGTAGAGCAGGAACTAATGAGATTGGCCATACAAATTGTGGCTAGGGGATACATTCCTGAATGACAACCTGAATGTTGAAGAAAGACAGTCTCTTTAGCAGTTGAGCAAAATCCCTCTATAGTTATCAAAAACGCAGATAAGAGAGGTATGGTTGTAATACAGGATTCTGGCAGCTACAAACAAGAGACTCTCAGACAGCTTTCTAACAACACTACACACATTAAATTGTAAAAAGATCCCACAATGCAATATAGATCCACACTGACTACATTGGTTCAGAAGGGGGTTAGATTAGGGGTACTTTCTACACAAGAGGTCAAGGCATGCATTCCTGATGCCCCATATATACCAGTCTTTTACCACCTACCCAAAACCCACAAGGGGTTAGACCCCCTTGTGGGTAGACATATTGTAGCAGGGATTGGGTCTTTAAATATGGGAATTGGGCAATGGGTAGACCAACAGTTACAACCCTTGGTTATGAACCTCCTTAGCTAACTACAGGACATCCAGCACCTTCTGAATTTATTTCAGGATCTTGAATGGATGGTGGGAATGTGTGTGTTACATTCGATGTGTCCAGCTTGTACTGCTATATCATACATATTTTGGGTCTAAAAGCAGTTTCTTATTATTTAGATATTTTACAAATACAAAGACTTATGGTGTACTGTCACGGAGTTATTGAACTATCCTGAGATAACAGAGATAAAAGGGGTACCAAAGGATAGCTTACATTATCTTGATGCAGATTTGTTCAGTAACTAATTCAAGGACACCAACTTTTAACTTTAACATTTTATCTCCGAAAGACAAATTCACTTTTCCTATCTCAATTTTGAGATTGTCTAAAGGTTAGGTTTATATTAAGCCTATACATTAAGTTATGGTTACACTAACGTCAGTAGAAAATAAATTCTTGGATCATGTGATGGGAGGAGTGGTTCTGGTCTATACAATATAGAGAAGCTATCGGTCTGATTGTGAAAGGCACATTGTATGACAGTAAGATAACTTTAGCCAGTATTCACCTTCTGAATGAAAACCAAAGTTCCACATTTGAATTTTTTCATGAACGCATTGCCCAGCATATGGAGTGCACTATTGTCATTAGAGACAACCCAAACATTGCCCTTAATTCCTTGCTCGAAGTTTCCCATGGTACCTCGCATCTATCATACATGGCCCTGAGAAGGGTAAGGAAACTCTTCCACAATCACCAACTGTTTGACACCTGTGGAATCATTCATCATCAAGATTGGGATTACATGTACTTATCTGCCTCTCACAATACATATTTATGAATTGATCATATATTTCTAGACCAACCCTCTCTTCCCTTACTAGACTGCTCTTCGATTGGTTGCTTCTCCATATCTGCCCATACTCCAGTTCACATTGAGCCTAGGCCAACCTTTACATAAACGCTGGAACTGGCAACTGAACGAATCACTGATTCAAGACGTGTCCTATAATTCTCAGGTCCTACAGGACCTGTCAATGTTCTTTGCTACCAATTCCGACAATGACATCCCTCCCCTCAAGCACTGTGAAGCTCACACGTTTTTCATTCATGGTACACTAACTTAGGCACACAAAGAAAAAAAAGCTCTTAATTCTCCACTTCATTCCTTGGTTTCAATCTCAGAAATCAAACTCAAAGAACAGAAAATGCTCATAACTCTTGCTCAACAAGTCAAGGACAAATTGTTGATCCTGAGGAGCAAACCCAATGAGCTCCTCACCGTTAGAGCAAAGGCAAAATTAATTCAGTGCAGACGCACCTTATATGAATATGGCAATAAGCCAGGTAAACTGTTAGTAAGGGTCCTTCAAGACTTTAGATCTAGGAACTACATCTCTCAAATTAAAAGTAAGAAAGGGATGGTGAATAAAGACTCACCCTCTATAGTTGATACCCTTAGGTCCTATTATTCTGACATTAGTAACTATATACGACTCTCCAGTAGGCCACACTTATCTGATGAAACAGTCCAGGATCTGGAGCGGCCAATCTCTACAGAGAAATTTAACATGGCCTTGCAGAAAAAGCTTTTGATAGAGTGAGCTGGAAATCTATTACTGCTACCTTGGCCCACATAGGCTTGGGAGCCAACATGATGACATGAATTAGGACCCTGTACTCCTGTCCAGCTATCATGGTAAGAGTTAATGAATCAGCCTCCACTCCATTTTCAATAAGCAATGGTACATGACAGGGTTGCCCCCTGTCCCCTCTAATTTTTATTTTGTCGTTAGAACCATTTCTAAGCACTATTAGAGTGAACCCTACGATTAAGGCCCTCTACACTACCAGACAAGCCCACAAGGTTGCAGAGTACGTGTTTCCTCAAACTACCCTGCTGGCCCTTTTACAAGCGTTGGAGACCTATGAATCTCTTTCCAGTTGCAAAATAAACATTTCGAAATCAGAAGCTTTAAATGTTATAGTACCACAATCGCACCTTAAATGGCTACAACAATTTACTTTTCGGTGGTCCCCCTCCCATATCAAATATCTTGGCACTTTTTTTTTCTGGTACAAAACTTTTTTCTATTGAAATACAATGCAAGCAGACCAAGGAGAGTAAAAAGCCTTTGTTTCCCACGTAGGAGAAATGAACAAATACAACTACAATAGTAAAATGTATGTTTTTATCAAATAGTATAACAAACTGACCAACCAACTGGGCTGGGCTAGTCCCATGTTGGGGACCTAAAAGGCCCAAACCAAAAACTTTGGGGGTGTGAATGTCGGGGGGAAGGAGGTGGGAGGTAAAGGACAAAGGCAGGGAAAGCCCTGAGAAAAAAGAAAGCAGTATGGAAGAGAGAAGAGGACAAGAGCGAGGAAGGAAGAGAAAGAAAAAGAGAGAGACCCACATGTTAGCAAGCGGATGAGTGACTGGAGGCAGAAGACTTACATATAAAAAATCCTCCAGTCGGCATGTGGAAATGAAGAACAGGCAGAGGAACAGGATCGTGGTCATTTAGGTGGATGGATCAGTGATTACAGCGGGACAAAACTGCCTGTTCTTCATTTCCACATGCCGACTGGAGGATTTTTATATGTAAGTCTTCTGCCTTTACTGTTTTTACCCAATTCTCACCTGACATCTCTTTTCCTCTGCTTTCCAAGGCACCTGTCATCTTCTTCCTTGTTGGGCGGGAACTTTGAACATACATCGCTGAGTTGAGAGCGGCTCCCTGCATGGTCCCACTGCTGTCACCGATCCATCCACCTGATTGCACCACCATCCCGCTCCTCTGCTGGTCCTTCCACTCCACATGCCGACTGAAAGAATCCCAGATGTAAGTCTTTTGTTTTACAGTTTTTCACTGAATTTACTCCTCCTGATCTGGCACCCTCCTTTTCTTCTGCTTATCTTGACCGCATGGATTTGGCTAATAGAGGATAGAGAGGGAAAGTGCCAGGACTCCATAAGAGTGGTGACAGTGTGCAAAAATGGATAGTAATTGATCGTGAACAGAGATGAGTAGGAGGCCGTCAGGTTGATCCCTAGGTAGTCTAGAGAGGAGCTTGTCCATCAGTAGAAGAAGGATGCCTGGAGTTTAGGTACCACTAGGTCCAGAAGAGTAATGTTCATAGTGGTCGTCTTATGAGGGTTAACCCAAAGGCCAGAGATGGCAGCGAAGCAGGACAAGAGATTTTGAAGATTAGGCAATGTGGCTGGTGAGGGTCAGGAGCACATCATCTGCAAACAAACTGATCTTATATTATTTCCCAGCATAAGGGATCCCAGTGATGTTTGGGAAAATGCGAAGGGCAATGGCTAGGGGTTCCAAAGCCAAGATTAAAAGGACCGGGGATAGGGGGTAGCTCTGTCGTGTTCCACAGAAAATAGGAAAGGAAGCAGAGGAGCAGCCCACATAGCAGACAATTGCTGTGGGATTGGAATATAGGGCAGAAAGTCATGCTGGGATGGAGTCTCCAAAACCCCATTGTCACAAAATGTAGCAGAGATATTCCCATGAGAGGGTATTGAAAGCCTTATAGATATCCAACTAGAAGAGGAACCCAGGGATCTTCCATTGGTTAAGTAGAGTGATAAGATAG